TGCATGCATTTTTCCCTCAATGTGCTAATAGTAGTTACTGAAAGTATTTTACTGAAGTAACTCATATTTCTTCCACCAATTACTTTTTCATAGCTCTACATAATTAGTGCTTTCCTCATTTCCTTAAATCAGACCAGACCCCTGTACTGCAGGATAAACCTGAACCTCACTGCTGGACAGTGGAAATATGCACTCAAACACTCTGGAGACTATCCCAGATAATGCCACACCAGGCTTCCTATGGCAGCCCGTCCAGGTCCAGCAGCTCCACCAGGGTCTCACTGCTCAGCTGAATGAAAGTGTACATAATGATTGGAAAAAGAGAAAAAAAAATAAAAATAAATAAATAATAATGTTGAATTGAAGTTATTTTGTAAGTAGTTGTAAAAACTTTTATTATAGAACAATTTATTTTCATTTGCAAATGTTATTCAGAGGCAAAAAAAAATGTATAGAAGAATTTATCATATACAAATTATAACTTGCTTTGCAAAATTTTTACAATTTTCAGAACTACTTCTCATCTTTTATTTACAAGTTTCAACTAAAACAATACACAAATTACTTTGCTTCATTTACAAATAACTTAAATTACAAAAGTAATAAACAACTTAATTCATTTATTTTTAAGTTTCCCAGAAGCACCATTTTCTCCAAAACTGTCCTAAAAGAAGATAAAAAAAGGAAAGAAAATTAATAAGACAGGGCTGCAATCTTAAGGTTAGAAAATATGACAGCAGGACGTGCATACAAAATACTTCAAAAATCATATTTCTTGATCATCAAGTTTGCCTAAAACATTTGTGGACATATCTTGCTACAAAATAAATAAATCATTAAAAATGAAATAAAATAAAAAATACAAGTTAAAGACTTGTCTACTTAAGTAGCCTTATAGGCCTACTTGTCTTGTTGTTGTGGGCTTTATATATGGGTGAGGGCTAATTGTTGTGAACACAAGAGGTCCTGGTGGATATATTACAGATGGGTAATGCCTTACCTCTGAGCCACAATGGCAGAGTTGTTGTCCCAAGTACAGGAATTATCAAATTCAGCCCTCTAATTTAATAAAGTTATTTTGCCTCCGACCACCTAACAAATGAATCTGTTCACATTTTGTAAGACCCCTGACTTTTAACGTTTGTTTTGCTAGCTATTTGAGCAAATTAAAACAATTCTTAAATTTATAAGTGTATTCGTTGGCAGCCACAGAACCATCACTTGCTATTTTGTTTGAATAAAAGTCCCGTCGTCACCGGCACGCTATGAATTCTGGGAGGGGGGGAGCTGCGAAAGATCCATCTCATGTATCCTTCATTTGCCAGAGAAACAGAGGACGCATTTTAAGTCGCGATCGAATTGCTGCAGCCTTCGTCGCACCGCAGTGATAATAATCGGCCTGCAAATGCAGCCTTCAGAGGATACATCATGTCACTGGGACGGTCTTCGTCGCGCCGCCGTGACGCAATCGGCCTTCAAATGCAGCCTTCGTAGGAAGCGGGCTTTGAATTGGGACAGCCTTCGTCACGCCGCCATGACGCAATCGGCCTTCAAATGCACACTTCGGAGGACATAGCCGATGAATTGGGACACAGCCCATGACTTATGTAGCATGTCTGATTGGATTCAGCTGTGTGTGTGTAATCAGTGCAATGGATGATGGGAACTGTAGTCCGGGTGAAGTGCAACAGTAGTGTGGTGCAAGAGTCCATAGTAGTGAGCGGGTGATCTCTGGTGGTGAGCGAACGAAAGTGCATGGACCGGATTCGTGACATATTCTTTAGGTTTATGTGATAAAGCTCTTGTATACTTAGTTAAACACGTTTCAATTTAAAGCTAGTTCTTGATTATGCTACACCAATACTAACACTATGTGAGAAATATGGCTTTGGTACATAAATAAAGCAAGTTAAAGAAATAGTTAAATAAATTTAAAAAATGAAATGTGTAAATTCAAAAAGATATGTTTTAAGACAATCATCGTAATCAAAAAGATTGTGTGCACTTTTGCCGGGATAAACAGCTAAATAATGTATTGTTATGAAATAATACAAAAATATGGCTGATATATATACTGTAT